TATGCTGACTTGGCGATTAAGAAATATGTATTACTATAATGTTGAAAACAGTTTCATATTTGGAAACCATTATATATTTGTTCAGGATTCTTTGATGAATAGAAAGCTTAAAAGAACCGTCTTTATTTGAAATCTCTTGTAACATTATGTCTTTACTGTCACGTTTGAGCAATTAAATGCATTCTTGTTTTTTTTTTTTAAATCCCAAAACTTTTGAATGATAGTGTAACTACTTGTGGAGTGGATCATCATCAATCCAGATCAGAATATGAGAAGTGAACGTAATTATATAATAAAGGTTATGACAATAATAGCAAATAACAATAGATTTCTTTTAAAACTAAGCATTACCTTCAAGACAGGTTCTGATTCTCTCAAGAGTCAACTTGACCTTCAAGCTCCTCCGCAATCGACTGCAAACTCATACACAGGACTGGTCCATTCTGGTATAAAACACCCAAATTTTCAATATCCAATCGATTCCTGAAAGCTAAAATCCAGTCCTGTCCTCAACTGTTTCTTATTGAGCATCCTTTTTTACTCATAAATATGGCATAATACAGAAGCCAAATGAGTTGCAGATGCCATTTCACTTAGACTTACCCACATACTTTTATATTCTCAAATCATACTTTATAAACACCAGCCTATTTTTCCCACCGCCACTGTATTATTCAAGGTCTTTTCTTCTGGTGCTCAGGTGTATTGAATTAAATGCTGAACAAATGACTGTAAATTTATGTAGATTAACATGCATTACCTGAGTCCAGATGTGTTTATCTGGACTACACACTTGCTTTTATTCTGCATAGATGTGTGTGTGTGTGTGTGTGTGAAATAAGTTCCTTCACAATCAATTGATAGTTGTGAAAGTAAATAACATAAATGTAATTAAGAAAGTTCAAGAAATTATAAATACATAAATAAATACTAACACTCTAAAACTATGTCTAAATAAATTAACAGTCCAACACTAAACTAAAAACCAATTGTTTTGAATTGCACAAGTGAATTTAGGCAACCACAACATTATAATGTACAGTATGAAATATGTATACTCTTTTGGAGATTTGCTAAAGATTACATTTAACAGTATTATTAAATTATAATTTTTTTTAAATAATGTTAAGTGATTGTTAAAATACGGCAAAGGTACAGTGGGTACGGAAAGTATTCAGACCCCCTTAAATTTTTCACTCTTTGTTATATTGCAGCCATTTGCTAAAATCATTTAAGTTAATTTTTTTCCTCATTAATGTACACACAGCACCCCATATTGACAGAAAAACACAGAATTCCCTACAGGAGTCAATATTTTGGCCTGTTGTCCTGGAAGAGAAAGATTGTCCATTTTAAATGGGTGCAGAAGTTAATTTTGTCATCTTCTAGATTCAGAGTGACTTTGAGAGCCACGAAGAAAACAATATATCACGGGGTGTGTATGATCAAAGACAAGTAAAATACAGGTGTGTGGAGAGCTGAAACTCTTGATTAGGTAATACCTAGTGCATACACACTAACCTAAACAGTGCTGAGGAAATTGCATGGTAATGATATGCTAATGATATGCTAATCCGGAAACACTGTTACATATCAGAGGTGTGACAGGATTTTAGTCAGACCCTTCACCACTGGGTGGAAAGTATAGACCTCTGTCCCACAGTGAACACACACACACACACTTTCAGCTACTCAAAAGACAGGTTTAGCCGTTTCAAAATAAGCTAAACAGAAACTAGCGATTTCAATAAAAGTCCAATCAACAGCAAGCAGTTGATTACCACAGATAATAATTTCCACTTGTAAAAACAAACGCAAATCACATTTGCAGTGATGCACTTGGAAGTATATGGGGCAAGGACAATGTTTTCCTGTTTTGTTATTAACTTGCATATATTTCTTTTTTCATGTTTAAATAGTAAAAAGATGCAAAGTTGGTAAGTGATTTTCACACTAGTCATGTGTTATGTTTAATACAAGTCTCGTGGAAAACTTTTGCAGTGGTGATAAAATACAAACATATTCCAATACAATGCCTTGCTCCATAGATGACTATAAACATAATTTTCACTTCTTAAAATAATTTTGTTAGCATTTTCCATCAGTGTTGCTTTTTTAAAACAACATTGTTGATTTAACTCAAACACTCTTTTTACTTTGAACCAAATGCATAGATTCACAAACACACACACAAACACTGACCTCTTATAGCACTTTACTAGCCCATTGTGAGGGTTTGCGTCTCACAAATTCAAGCATGTGTGTATAGGCCTCAAAAACCACCGGCTCTCACGTTCACCAGAGGTCGCAGTGTGCACAAGCGTGAATGTGTACATCTGCGCTGCAAAGGTGTCAGATATTTTCCTGGCACTTCAAATGAAACCTCAAACCCATAATAGCCACCATTATCTGCCTGACGTGCGTCTGCGTGCTTGTGCCCACACTTCTCACACAACACACAGATCCCATTTCAACCCAACAATGCACAAACAACCTCTGGAACACTTCCTGACATGTGCCTGGACACTCATTACCACACTGTAGGACGATTACTGACTCATAACACGCACTAACAATTACACACGGATTGCATTACGGTACACACAGGTCCACGATACAAGTCTCAGACTACATAGAAAACCTGCATATAAACAAACTCTCCTCTGTCTACACCTGTTTATTTAACCCTTGCGTCAGCAGGTTTCAATGGGGTTTTCATTTAGCCTGCCAGAGTGTAAGCCGCTATGTTCAGGGATTTTAATGTCGCCCTTGCAGACGAAGAGATTCATCAGTGACCTTTTATGATGGGACTGAAGAGGCTGGAAATGGTGACACAATGTCACCGAGAACATAATAAATCACATAAAATAAAAGCAAGCTCACTTTGACAGCATCTTCAGCCCATAACCGCTCCGAGTGAGAACAAACATATTGTAATGACCTTCAAATGCACATGACGTCGTTGAAAGGTGTGAGGGAGACGTTAAGTGCAAAGTGCTATGGCGAGAGGATGTTAGCAAGATGGGGTGAAGATTTGCTTCACAGAGGGGTGGCGCGGCTCTGAGGCGGTACAGCCTATATATGCTTTGGACGCTTTCTGCCAAATCCCTCTATTACGACAAGAAATGATCTTTCTTCCTGTGGCACAGCTGGTCAATCCCATATGAATGTGAGAAGATTTTGTGGCATATGTAATGAAGCATATGTCAAAGAAAGCCGCCATTTTTCCTTTACGTGGATCTCAAACAAGGCGGGCTGACTGTACACTATTCTAGTCATTACACAGCTAACCACCACATGCATGAATAAATATGTGGACGTGCATTTTTTTTTTTTTTAGTTTTAATATTTTATCATATTACCAATCCTAAAGCTTCCACTAAAAATAGTCTACTACAACATACCAAACAATCAGGATAGTAACAAGACAAACACTGTAAAAAATATTAGTGTAATATTAAAGGGATCATGAATTGAGAAATCAAATTTTCTTTGACCTTTTGATATGTAAGAGGTCATTACTATAAAAACATCCTGTACGTTTCCAAACTCAAAACTTCCTTGATAGTCCAAAAATAGCTTTTATTCACACCAAGACAGACTGTTGATCTCATCATTGCAGTTCATGACTCCTTTAATAATGAGGTCATTTTCATTGCAATCGATAACTTACACACATGATGATGGCAACTGCTTGGTATGAAACAATAAGGTGCTATGGTGACGACCCACTTTTTTTAGCAACCTTGGTTCTGAACATATTTTTCTCTATAGGGATTTTAAAATAAGTCTTCGGTAAAGAGTTGTCAGCCATGAACCAAACTAACCAGCTACATGGTGAATCACATTACAAACTCAGATTTGAAGCAAAAATCTATTTGAGAAATGGGGGGGGGGGGGGGGGGGCAAAAAAAAAAAAAAGTGTGGGGAAAGAGAGAGATTTCTGTTTTCACAGCTGGGCTGGGGGGTGTCAAAAGTACAAGACTGTGTACTTAACAGCTTTAATGAAGAAAAGAACTACGATCCCATTGCGAAAGACAATCAAATTAACAATGACAATGTATTTACAAAATTACAAATACAATACAAAATTTAGTGCAGGGAGACTGACTTGGTTACATTATTCACAATGGTTCATGGAAATGGACAGGCACTAAAGAGTTCTTTCCGCACGATTTACTTGTCACAAGTCTCTGATCAGTGGAGATTTCTTTGCAGAATCATGGGTAATGTAGTTTTCCATTAGGAATTTCACTGTTTTAATACATAATCATTTAAAAAATAATGCATGCTGACAGCTTCAACAAAAATATGTTCTACTGATTAACAAACTTATAGCGAAGTTTATTTTTAAAGGTTTATGAGTTATCATTAAAAATCTTTTTTTTGCACCCAGAACCGACTGCTGCATGTCAGAAACATGAAAATAACACGTTTCAGTTGCGCAGATATGCGTTGTCATGTGAGACACCAAACACTGAAATATCTCAGGGCTAAATTCCACAATTGACCAATGAATCAAGTATTCCCGAGAACTGTTGCCACATTTACAACATATTCAAACTCAAATTTTTCTGCATATTTAAATCTTTAGCTCTAACTTTTTGAATATACGGAAGGGTAATTCTGGATAATAGGGGAAAAGTAAGCATTTCTTTGAGAAGGAAACAAATTATCCTTGATGGTGTCCTTGGAGATTCTTGTGGTATAAAACCTTTCAGATGCAAATGTTTTCAAACAAATTATCAATATATAGAGATTTTGAAAGTACCCATTTGATAACCACTCAAACCCTCAGTCTTAGCCGTGAAGGACATGTTAATATTGCAAAACAGGATGAGCAGATATAACCCATTTGAGAGCATAAGCTAAGGGAAATGGAACGAGCAGAACTTGACATATTTGGCCAGTTGAGGACAAAAATCACCAGTGACACAATTAAATCAGACTTAACAAAGGGAATTTAATGTCAATGACATTTAGCACCAGCCTAAGGCGACAGGTAAAACAGCCCAGTCAGCCATTTCTTTGCGAAAGTGCTCATGGGACCGTTGGGACGCTGGAATCTAAGATTAATTGAAAACGAACATAGTTCTACAAACGTGCAACCAATTCAGAGCAATCACTCACTGTCATTCTGCACACCGGATTTACGTTTACATACAATATGTTTCACAGGGTAGACATACAGGAGGACGATCCCACGATTCTGAGCAGCTCACGCTGGGTCAGAGGTTATGTTTAATATAGGTGGACGTAACAAACCTGACCTTCAAAACAAGTCAAAACATAAGACCAAGACACGGCGAGGAACTTTGATGGTCAAGACATTTCGTGTCCTCACACCTCACTTGGTGACAGCGAGAGAAGGAGAGGATATCGAAGGGGACATGACTGAGAGGGGAAACAGAGCTCAAGCTGGGCCAGGCAGCAGGCAGGCCAGCAGGATGCCTTCACCCTCCAATAAACTTCAGCTAAAGGTCAAACAGATGAATTATTCATTATTCAAGGTACAGCCAAGGCCAATATTGGCCTCCGTCCTAGGTTGGCCATTTTAAAGTGTTTTAGATGGGGGGGTTAAAAGGGGAACGGCAGTGTTGTGCAGTTCGATAGCAACAAGAGTGCATGAATCGATTCACGTGCAAGCACCAAACTTATAGCACAAAAGGCTAATGCTACACACTATATGCCTAGGCTTTCATTAAAGGCACCTTTGAAATAATACAAGTGAAAAAGGTGCAAAGGTTTCTTAATAAATACCCAAATTAAAGTGGACATCGTGGGCCAATGTGTGCATAATGATTGGTGTTTTAAAAATGTATCATGCCCCATGTGGACCCGTGTGTGTGTGCAGCTTGTGTGCAGGCTTTTGATCAAATATGAAATATTCAAAAACCCAACTGTAATTTGCTGAAGTCAGATATCCTCAAAATGGGAATAGCAGTCAGCACTTTTCACATTTCCGCTTATAAAAGACCCTCAGTAAACGGATTTAGAAAGGGGAGGGGGAAAAAACAGGGGTCTGGGTTAGGGTAATAAAGGCTGTTTAAAATATGCGCCGACCCGTGAGATGAACTGTAGTCCGTGTTGCACGGCCAGCGATCTCTCGACCGCCTTTCCTCTCTTCCTCCCTCCGGTGCCACTGGGTTCCGGTCCCGCGCTGCCCTCTGGCGGCCAAACATTGCAAATGGTGTGTGGGCAGCCGCAGCAGCACAGCGGGCCTCTCCAATCCATGCCCTGCCATTCACAATGGTATCAATTAAGAGCTGCGAGCACTCTTTCTTAAATACATACATTTAGTGAAGCCTTTCAACAGTTCAAAAGGACTGGTTGAAATGCATTGATTGGCTGAAGGGTGGTATCACCGCTGGGTCCGAACAAAAAGTACAGTCCTACAAGTTGCCCCATTGAAACGGAGTCATATTATTTCAAGAATGTACCCTGCTTAAGCTCAATGTTAATATGACACTTTAACAGGTCTATGCTAAATGGCTGGAAAATACATTTATCACTAATGTGGGCCAACTGGACAGGCATGATGGCAGAATTTGAATACCTACATCTTTACACCAGAGTTTTTCAAACTGCGGACGTCTCACAAACCAGGGGGTCCATGGAAAAATTCTAAATAGAGAACAAAAAAGTAATTGGAAAAAGAAATATGATAGAAACAGTGAACATTGATGTATATTTTCCATTAGTTTTCTCAATATTTCTAAAAAAAATATTAATTTTTAAGCCTTGCAAGGGAATTAATTAATGAACAGCGAGCTATTTGTATTAAGAAATAAAATATAACAAGACCGATATGATTATTATGAAAAGTGTCCTGAGAGAATGAAAACACTCCTTTACAGTTAAAAACAAAATTGAAATGATATGATATAAAATTATGAAATATGCTAAAAGTAAAGAGAAAAAATATTGGGCTGTAAGAAAATAAATACAGCATCAAAGGAACACGTTCAAAAATGATGTGATGAGAGAAAAACATAGCAATCAAACGGGTTTGACTTACAAGTGATTTAGACCCATTATATGCTGAAGCAATTCAGTGTCTGAATTGTTTTAGTCTACTGGTTTCACCATTCTGCTCTTGAAAACACCCTTGAGTTAACAGGCAACAAAACCAGAACCATGATCTGAAAAGTGAGAGTTTGTGTGTCCACATGAATATCTGCACTGGGCATATTCACTTATGAAAATGCTTATGAACTGGAGAGTCCATTTGTGTTTCATGCATATTTCATGTAAAGCACCGTATAATAAACAGAGGAACAAAGGAGCAAGAGTAACATTCTGAATTGAAAGAGGATGTTTCAGCAAAGTAAAGAGATGAAAGAGTGATATTTGCTGGCAACATGCAGGTATGAATACAAAGGCTAAGCAAAGGTGGGGAATATGTTGGTGTGTTGGAACTATCAAACAGTAAATATTTGTAGCAGTATTAGTAAAAGGATAATACTAATTAAAGAAACAATGAACAGCATGAACAAATATTGAAATTGCTAATAAATTATCTATTAAGGGCAGGCTTCAAATTTACTTTCAGAATAAGGAAAATGTAATTGCTTTTTTTTTTAATTAAATCCATTTTGTGATGCAGTTAGATACAATAACCATTCAACCAATGTAATTTTAAATTTTTAAATATAATTTCTGAAGTAAAACAAAAAAAATGAAAATACCTCAGAACAAGTTCAATGTACAGACTTCTAAAGTAAAATACAAAAACTAAAAAATGGTTCAGGGTTTGACATTAAATCCATTTTGTGATGCAGTTAGATACAATAACCATTCAACCAATGTAATTTTACATTTTTAAATATAATTTCTGAAGTAAAACAAAAAAAATGAAAATACCTCAGAACAAGTTCAATGTACAGACTTCTAAAGTAAAATACAAAAACTAAAAAATGGTTCAGGGTTTGACCACTACAACTTTAATACTGATTATATCCAAAAGACAAAAAAAAACATATTTTGTCATGAAATTATGACTGAACAGTACATTTTACAAAAACATATAGTCTCACATTGCACATCGTAAAACAATCTGAAAGTTTTCCCTAGAAAGATATGTTAAGTTTCTTTCATACAAACACTACCTGTCCGCCACAGCAGAAAAATCCTGAAGTCCATCACCTTAGGTCACGGTTCTCTGACAGAAACGAATAACAACCACCCACACAACCTCTTCCAACACACTCTATCTACAGGTTTCGATGCAAATGTCTTCGGAAATAAAACAGTGTTAACGCTAGTTGCTCTTGGCATGCAAACGATGCATTTATCTAACTTTACCTTCACTCACCATCTGCAGGGCTCCACTATATTCTTTGCACAGAGTTCAGAAAGCACAGACAATTATTTAAAATGGAGTAATATTTAGGTCTACTTTGCATAAACATTATAACAAAGAAATTAATGTTGAAAGGAATAATTTATGGACTGATTTTAGATGTTTCAGACGCATGGTTTTGCAGAGAACGGATGTGATATGAAGAAGCACATTCAAAATAATGTACTATATCAGTATTTCTGCATGCATTTCAATTTGGATGGAGTTTCCCTGCTCCTCAAAATCGCCCAGTCAATCTTTCAGTAAAGCTGGGACCTATTCCCACTAAGCTGCTCGGCCTGAGGAAGAGAGGAAGGAGGGGGCCAGGGGTCTGCCATACAGATGATCCATTCCACAAAGCGAACATTCAGCACAAGGGTCCCAGGGCCTACAGGGACTCTGATAAAGCACCTGGACATTTTTATAGACAAACTACTTATTTTTTTCCCCTCATATCGCTTAGGACGACTGATAACTTTATATTTCTCTAAAGCGCTGTGCTGAAAAGGCTGAGGGAAAAGGCCTTTCAGCAGTTTAATTGATCAAGACGAAGCCATGGGGGGCACCTTCAGATAAAAGAGACGGGAACGTTTTGAAGTACAATGGTGGAATCTTTTTTTGGAAGGAACCCAATAAGGAGTAAAATATGAGTCATTACTTAAACTCATTGTGGAGCTTTAACTGTATGTCACTTTTAAAGTACGCTTTTTGTAGACCTATTAGAGACAGGGATTTATTCTGTTGAGTACTTGTTTTATACTTAACCCTTATTGTTTTTTCTTTGTATCCTGGGGGAAACAGACATGGGGCAACAAGCAAGTGGGTCCAGTTTGTGAGAAAAACAATATTGGGTCCCTGCAACTACTCTGTTCAAATGACTTGGTATGAAAAATCTGGCATCAACTTGCCATCTTTAACTAAAGGTATTCCAGCATAGTTTTAATTTCCTTGACCTTTAGGTAAATGTGGATACATGTTGAATGTGTTTTTCATATAAAAGTTACAAATTGTAAAATTGAAAATAATATTTGAGGGGGAAAGGTAGATAAATAAGTCCTACTGCATTAGAAAACAGAAATTATAAATAGTTTTTTATGCCCATGGTAGAATAGTTTTTTGCACTTAATAAAAGTGAATTTAAAAGGGTCAAATAGTTTAACAAATTAATTGTTTTAAATAGCCATAGGATGCCCTTCAAGCAGGCATACTTTTCAAGTCTATTTGCATTTCTACTTTGTATTTGCCCTTAAACTATTCCTTGTTTTCACAAGGGTCGTACCTGTTGATAATAAGATGAAATAGGCCATACATCTGCATGCTCCAAATATATTGCAACATATGAAGAGTTCAGATGCAAAAGCGTGCCATCTGAAATTTTCTTCTAACATTAGCATTTGTATCAGGCTCCTATGTTTAGGTTCAGTAATTTTACTTTAATGGCAATGTATAGGTCCTTTTCTATGCCATTAAAGTGAAATAAATGAACATAAATATAGGAGCCTGATAAAAATGCTCATTTTAGATGAAAATTTCAGATGGCACTTAGAGGCTTTTGCATCTGAACTCTTCATATAGACAATAGCTCATCTCATCCTTACAACTGCAGTGAGTTCATGCACACTAATCAGCATATTGCTTGTCACGTCCTAGTGCTCTCATTACACAGGAACATCATTTCATTCACAAATTATGGACGTAAATTATTCAGAACTAGTAGATTGAGACAGACGGCGGCAGCCTCTAGGATAACCTAATCACTTCACTAAAAAATTGCTACAAAATGGGACTCACTTGAACATTCTGACTGTCTGAAAATCTGGACAGCAGTCAATGTTCTCTTAGTAGGGGGCTTGTTAGGTTTTGAGACGCAACCTCTGTTTACATTTAGCAAAAAATAAAAATTCTTCTCTCTGCATGCACGCAAGTATTTAATATATATATATTTAAAAAATGCAATTGACATCCATTTTCAGTGCCCTGTTCTTGTTAGACATCACAAAATCACATCCAGAGAGGGTGGAGGGCGTTTTAGTGAGATCTCTCCTCCCTTTCGGGCAGCGAAAACAATGGTTAGAGTCAACATGACTTGAATCGTCTTTCTTACCTTCTGTCCGTGCGCGCGCTGAGCTGTACAGATCCTCGTACTTACTGCAAGACGCAAACATCATTTGGATAAAACGAAGAGGCTACAACATGACATCAGTTCGTCTTTTGTCGTAGATGTAAAGATGAAATGGAAAAAACGGACGACAAATGTTGCTTTGACATGCCGTTACATCCGCATATAAATGTAGCCGATAAAACCTGAGCGTCGAATAAAAGAGTATCAAATCGAGATATCTGCATTCAGATGCAGGGACTGAAAAGATGCTTTTAAATGTATGCATGGTGATGGCCAAAGCTGCAGCCGGCGGAGATCTGCATATGGAAATCAGGATAACCTTGGGTCCAATTTTACTTAACAGTGATGTACTGGTTATTAATTAGACCGGAGTAATGTGGGACAGACCAAGGAACTTAAAAGACGTATTAATGCATCACGATTCAAAATCACCTCTCCTATTTCTTTACTGCCAGCCTGGAGCTGTGATTTAAACGACAATAACTCATTTATTGCATGTAATGTCAATATATTGTCGTTTTATATGTTGCGCGGTCTTTAATACGTTTAATTAATAACAAAGACAAAATACACACACAGTAACTTTTCGACGTTTCAATCCCTGTTTGCAATGCGTTGATATGATTACAGATCCTGACCACGCCCCCCGAGAACTTCTGACCAATCAAAGAGCGGTTTGGATGACCGACATGTCCGTGCGCTTGCGCAGTGTTGCTGTGACTGTAGCGCGGGAGTGCAGTGATACGTGGTCGTTCATAGACGCAGCAGTTGTCAACAAGTGTTGAAGTAAGTGGTATTACAGAAGTTATTAGATCCTAAATGACTGAAATTGGTGTATCTGTTAAAAATGGTAGGTTTCGCTGTCTGCGGATATAATTTCCAGGTCAATAACTCACAATATAGCGCTGTAGATCTGAAAGAGAAGTGTTCACTGCTAAAAATAACAGCGTAAACCAGCCTAAGATACTTGCTGGCCTTTCCTGGTTTACGGTTGCCTTAAAGCCTAGCCAAGCCAATGTTTTTTGTTTATTTTTTTTTTTTAATGGTTGTTTAATTACATTAAATTGTCTAATTCGTGGTTAAAATGTTTTTGATTGCATTATTTTCATTGTCTCTTTCAAAACTCTTCCTAGTGGTCTATTCCATCCTGTTGACATGGAGGGGGAGTTCTCGCAGTCCCTCACCCCACCTGTATCCCCATCTGCTCTGGATCATTATGGTGAATCTGCTCCCAGTCGGCCTCCCTGCTTCACCTGTGCTTATGAACCAGGTAGAGAAGAGACAGGACGACTGTCATCAAATGGCTACATCAGCAGAGGAGCCCTGAAGAGGTACTAAGTCCTGGTGTTATAATGATGATATACTCGGTGTCAACCTGTCTGTTAAACTTACATCCTCTTTTCTCTATGTTTAGGTTGCTGTTGAAGCTCGATCCAGCTCCTGTGGATTTTGAGGGGGACACGGTTGATATTTTTGACTTCCCATGGGTGACAGAAACAGCGCTGGTAGAATCGACCAAACTTCTGTTTGGCTTGTTCAGGTAGGAGTGCAGGTGTGTTGGCTCTGGAGGATTGCCATGTTGTCTGCTGAAACAGGAAGTCTGCTAATTTGACAATCTGTCTTTCCTTTCAGACAAAAGGTGTTAAAACTGGAGACGCTGGTGCAGTCCAGCTCACATGATTTTGGTAAGCATCTGGAGACAGACTTTTTGGGAAGAGTTGTTACAGTCTGACAGTACTTTGCAGCTGAAATATGAATAACTATATTTTGACGCTTTCAGGTCAAGCGAGCAGTCTTCATTATGAGGCAGAGGAACTGAGACAGCAGTGTGTCCTGTTCCTCAGCTATATCAAGGTCTTCATTTACAGGTACAAAACAGATTGCTGTGGCTTGGTAGTAGCGAAATAATATCAGAAACTGGTTTCACGTTGTGTTTTGCTCTCCAGGTTTTTGGAGCCTTCACAATCCCTAGATGAAGGTCCTGTTCATCCCTTTAAAGACGCAGAGGCTCAACTGCCCTCAGTCTTGGTGGAGGAGCTCTTCAGTATCACACAGCTTATTGGACGAATCAAAAATCTGCCAGCCAATGTCCAGAGTGCTCTTACGATTCAGCATCAGGGAAAGGTACTGCAGAACACCTCTGCCATTTTCACAAGATAAATTATATCTTTTAGCCTATTGATGATATTCCTCAATATCTGGTTATGTATTTACTAAATGTCCTAACAGGATAGTTCACCCAAAAATGACAATTTTCATCTAGTCACCCTCTAGTTGTTCCAAGCCTGTAGGAATTTTTTTCTTCTTTTGAACACAATAGAACACATTTTGAAGAAGGTGGGTGACCAAACAGTTAATGGTCCCTACTGACTTCCATGGGATTATTTTCTGTTTCTAAGTTCATGGGGACCAGCAACTGTTTGGTTACCCACCTTCTTCAAAATATATATTTTATGTTAAACAGAAATCTCATACAGGTTTGCAACAGCTTGAGAGTGAGTAAATGATAACAGAATTTTAATTTGGTTGAAATATTACTTAAATAGGGAGATTTTATTTTATTCAGAGGAACCATATTTTGACTGAACTTCCATTGTTGCCAAGTACTATAGGTTAAAAGTGTTAAATGCAATTAAAATAATTAAGACACACCGTTTGTCACTAAATTAATGTTAAATCAACACAGGAAGAGAGATCATTTTTATTTTCAGTATATGAACATATATTTATGTAACAATACTTAATATACAGCAACATTCTTCTATACAAGACACTACTCTTTAAAAGTTTGATTTGCTAAGGTTTTTAAAATGTTTTGAAAGAGGTCTTTTATGCTCACTACACATATTTGATTAAAAAACAGTAATATTGGGAAATATTACAATTTAAAATAACTATTTAAACACATTTTAAAATGTAATTTTTTTTTATTCTGATGGCAGTGGTTGTGATGGTTTCATTAAAAGTTTGAAAGAATTTAATGGAAATGAAATCACAAATTAATCACATCTTTATCAGCATTTTTGCTCTCTCGGTTAACACATTCAGTCACACTTTTGGCCTCTTTGGATGGACTTTTAAAAGGTTGATGGCCAAATACAGAGTGGTTTAAAACTAATAGAGTATTGATCTGCGGCACAAGTGCACTTTATTATATTACTCTCCCTAGTAGTGAAAGAAAGTGGCATAAGGAAAAAAATCTAACTCCTCTTTACAGCTCTTTCCTCCATCTTGGCAATTATTGCATCTGCACCTGGACATCCACTGGTCTGTTCTGGAGATCTTGCACCTGTTGGAGCAAAGGATGATGGGTATGTTGCAGTAGCTGTCTCTAGATTGCACATGTGGTCCTGAATCTGGGACTGTCATACTAACGAGTGTTGGGTCCTGGTGATTTTGAAAGGTCAGGTAGTTTATGCGCACCAGTTCGTGAATTTGACAGGCGAGACGCTCACAAACATCAGTCTGTTTGAGGACCAGGTCAACAACCTGCTCTGTGATCTCATTGGCCTGGCCATGAACAAATATAATAAGGTGTGTGTTTTATAACAAACATAAACATTGTGTTGTAAAGGTTAGGAGTTAGAACAGTCTTTCATTCTCTCGCTCTCTCTAGGTGAGACCAACAGAGATTTTGAACAGCCATCACTATCACTGCCTCTGCACAAAGGAATTATGGATTCTACTCATACATTTACTGGAGCACAGGAGCAAAACCATACACACTCAGGTTAGCACATACACAATCTCAGTCAGCATAGATGGTTGTTTCGTATGATTCTTGATTCTGATTTTTCTTTTCAATCCAGTCTTTTTGGAGTTACGTAAATGCCCTGCTGCAGACTGTCCTGGAGGGGACGCCTTCAGGAGACCGTGACCCAGGTCTACCCCTGCACTGTAAAGACCCTGACGGTTTCACCTGGTGGTTGCTCACACACCTGGCCCAGATTGGGATGCACAACCGGAACGGCACTGCTCAACAGGAGGTAGATCAACACAAACTAGTATCACATGATGAGATTTTATTCATTTTAATAATGAATATTACATTGGTGAGTTTGTTGCCGTTTCAGAAACAACTTGAGGATAATTGGAGCTTTGTGATGGGGCTGCTGAAGTCTAGCTGTGACCCAAAGGTGATTAAAATAATATTTAATATTGCGGTGTATTATGTGTTTATTTGGCTAATATGCTTGTTTGTCTGGTCTGTTTATGAATGGCATTAGAGATGCGTATTCTGAAAGGTAAATATTATGATTAATTTTCAGAAAGCTGCACAGGAAGAACAGATACGAATGATTGTCCACTGCTGCCTCAGCCTCAGCTTGATGTGGGGCCCAAATGTCAGTGCTGTCACAACACTCTGGGAGTATTACAGCAAAAATCTCGTAAGTCATTACTGCAATTTATTTTGGTTATTAAAGCCATGATGTACAGTGGGATTCAGAGTTTTCCCCCGTTTAAATCTGGAAACAATGTTTTAAGAATTTAAATTATTATATATTATATTATATTATATTATATTAATTCAAACTTGGGGTGTTCATATCAGCTCATTACTGCAAGATCACATAGACATTAAATATTATTTCTATAGCTGGATACATGACATACTGTGGGACCCAGAAGTCAATTTTTCTCTCTGTAAATAAGTTTTATAAGTTTATAAGTTAAAAGTGCAGTAATTAGTTTTGATCATTTTAATAAATTAATTATATTACATTATATTTATATTAACTTGTCCTTATCAGCTCATTACTGCAAGATCACATTCACATTTTAATTTAATACTATGTTTTAATAATTTACATTTACTCAAACTGTTGTTGTGCTGATAATATAATTTATTAATTGGAAAAATGTCAAATGAAAGCATTTTCACTAGTGATCTCTACAAAACCAGCTGTAGTTTCATAGCAACTAGATCCATGCTGAATCAGATTTTTTGCAGGGTTTCTTGGAATTGGACTTGAAGAATATATTCAATATATTGAGAAAACATTTGATGTGGACTATATTTTAATGCTGCTATTAGACTATACTTTATCAGTGTGAAAGACACCCTTCAGTACTACTTCTAATTCTGAACTCTCTTCTTTTATGTGTATGCAGAACAGCTCTTTCACCGTGCCCTGGTTAGGTGTGTCAGGGCTGGGCAGTATCAGCAGGACTCCCCTCTGTCTGTTGCAGCAGGCTAAGAGCTGCTGTAGCCCTGCATCTGTCGGCTCCAATTCTCACGCGCAGCTCTACTGCTCAACCAACTCCTTCCATATCTTCCTGCGTATTCTGGCCCT